TTTTATTCTTGTAAACATTTTTATTTTAATACTGCCCCATAAGCCAATTGCAGTTGCACTTGGGTTTTATATATAGTTTTATATATATATTATAATTTATATAATTTTTAATTTGAATTTTTATTTATTTAATTACAAAATAAAAATAAAATTGCTTATTTCAGGTTTGTTATAAAAAAGCATCAAGAAGCAGTGGAAAAAAAATCTGAAGAAACCAATACCAAAACTAATGCTGTTGGTAATGATTGCAGTCTTCCACTTGACACAATTATACAATATAATAACAAGGACAGTAGCGAAAGTGAAAGTGATGTTGAGATGGTAGAAGAAAATATAACAAAATCAAAGAAAAAGAAATATACCCAAAAGTTTAAAATTGAATGGAAGCAGAAGTGGACTTGACTTGAAAACATAAAAGGAAGTTCTTACTGCACTCTGTGCAATAAAACTTTAATGGGTGGAATAACACACTTAGAAAGACATGCACAAAGTAACATGCACAAAAAACAAGAAATATATCTATCTAAAGTATCAATGACAGATTTGAAAATATTATATTCGAGAAATACAACAGTACGAGTAGCTGAACTGAAACTATGTATGTTTCTTAGTGAGCATAATTTACCATTTAGGATACTACAGCATTTGCCAAAGTTGATTCAAAGTGTTTGCCCTGACTCAAACATTGCTAAAGAAATTAAATGTAGCAGAACAAAGGGCACACAGATTTTAAAAGAACATGTAGCACCTTGTAGCATGATGGAAATATGTAACATTTTAAAAACAACGAAGTTTTCACTAATAATTGATGAAACAACTGACATTTCTGTTATAAAAAGTTTAGCTGTAGTTGTTCGATATTTTGATACGATAAAATTAATTATTAGGGATAGGTTTTTAACTTTATTGGAAGTGAAATCTTGCACAGCAGAAGATCTTTATAATTCCATAGCGTTTTTCCTTGAAACAAATGGAATACCTTTTGAAAATATGATTGGTAGGTATAAATAAGTATTTGTATGTGTGTGTATATGTGTTTTATTAAATAAATTTTATGTTATAGGATTTGCTGCAGACAATTGTGCTGTCATGATGGGCGATTCCAATGGAGTACAAGCCCGATTCAAAAAAAAAATTCCTAATTTATTTGTATTAGGATGTGTCTGCCATTCTATGCACTTATGTTCATCAGCTGCCTGCCTAAAGTTACCATCAGCTATGGAAGATTTAGCAAGGGATATTTACAGCTATTTTAAAAATAGTTCAAAGCGTTTGAATGAATTTGTTGAACTTCAAACATTTTTACATTTAAAGCCACACAAAATTTTAAAAGTCAGCCAAACTAGATGGCTATCAATTGAAGCTGTTGTTAATCGGATTTTAGAACAATGGACTGCAATAGAATTATTTTTCACCCGTGCAGCTCTTGAGGACAACTTACAATTAGCAAAGACAATTCTCAATGCTCTGAGAAATCCTATTTATAAAATTTATTATAGTTTTCTTTCCTTTATTTTAGAAATCATTAATAAAATTAATCTTTTATATATTTCAAAGTAGGAAATCTCTAATTACTCAATTATTAACTTCAATTGAAAAATATTATATTCTAATTTTAAAATGCTATTTTAAGAACGATTACATCAATAATACTCCTTTAACTTTAATAGATCCTGCCAATGTTAAAGAATATTTAGAGATAAATAAAATAGTACTTTGGAGCAAAAACTGAAATACTGTATACAACTGTGAGCTCCACAGAACTTCATTCTTTTAAAGTTAGAGCTTTAGATTTTCTTGTAACAGTGTCGCAAGAAATTAAAAAAAGATTTGATTTTAAAAATAGAACACTAAGGTTAATAGAAATGCTTGACCCAAAAAACGCTTTAAGTGGAGAATATACATCAATTGTTCCTCTTATTAACGAATTTCCCAATTGCGTTACATTAAATGATTTGGAAGCTCTTAACTTAGAATGGAGATTATTGCCAGAATATAAAGAAAAATTGTCACATTTTGAAGAAGCTGAACAATTTTGGGTAAAAGTAGGTTCAATAAAAGTAGGAAATGAATTAGTTTTCCAAGATTATATAAATTTGTCACAGCAATATTGTCTTTACCTCATAGTAGTGCGACAACAGAGCGTATTTTTTCTAATCTCAATCTGATAAAAACTAAAATCAGAAATAGATTGCATATACAAACATGTAATTCTCTTTTACATGCCAAAGAAACATTATATAATACAGAGTGTTATAAATGGGAGCCTTCTAAAGAATTATTAAAACAATTTTCAAAATATGCTTTCCATAATAACTATGAAAATGATTGTGATGACATAATATTAAAATAGTTTTATTTTTATATGTAATAATAACAGTATTTTGTGATTATGTGATTATTATGACCTGATAATTTATTTACTTTAAAAGCATAAAAGGCTACATGTTGCAATATATTGTTAATTAATTATATATTGCGATCTCGTATGTTTATTAATAATATATAGTTTATTTGCTAATATAATTTTTTAGTGCAATATATATTTTGTTTCTTTTGTACAAGATTAAGGTTCTTCTGTACAAAGTTTTGTATAAGAATAATAAAAAACTGTTTTTTATCAAATAAAAAAATATTTAAATTTTATCTTACCTAAATTTCAAATTTTTCGCTTAATTTTTATATTACAAACATATATATATATATATATAATGTAGTACATATATATATATATATATGTATTTATATATAAACTTATGTATTAAAAATATAAATTAAATATATATTTATATTTTATTACAATTTGTTACATTTTGCCACCAGATGTCAGTACATTTAATATTTTTGTTGCGGCAACACTGTTCCGGGGTCTTTTTCTTTTTTGCCGAATCGACCCCGATTAATTCGACAAAATCTAGTTTGTTTGTTTCTCTTTGATTAAAATTGGACATTCTGCTCGAAAATGTCCCTATTTTCCGCACTGCCAACATTCTTTTTCTTTTCGAAAATAATTATTATTAAAATTTTTATTTTTTGAAAAATTTATTTCTTTATTTACTTTTTTATTCATTTTTTCTTCCTTTTTCGTTATTTCACTCTCTTTTCTTTCAATTTTATAATTTCTATTTCTATTTTCCCCAAATTTTTCTCCATATTTTCTATTTTTTCCGAAAAACAACTTTCATTAATTTCTTTTATCGTTTTAGCTCTTTCTATTGCTAATTTTAAAGAGGTTATCCTTTCTAATTGTAATGTTCGTTTTATAAATTGATCATTTAGTGCATTAATTAAATTGCGCACATGCTATCTTTTCTCGGACTTCCGCCGAACATTCTGAATAGGCTAACCTTGACAACCTTTCTATATCAGCGCCTAAATTCGATATTTCCTCACCAAATTTTTGTCGTCTATTTGTAAATTGTGTGTAATACGTTTCAGAGAGATGACCCTCACCAAATCGTAACTCTAATTTCGATTTTAGCTCTATAAAACTTAAATTTTCGATCTCTGAAACACAATCTAACACCGTTCTTGCTTTTCCCCTAAGACAGGATGCTAACGCAATAGTTTTTGCATTTTCTGTCCATTTATTCGCACCCGCGATTAAATTAAACTGAGAAAAGAATTCCCTTAAAGATCCCGTCCCGTCATACATATCTGGTTTCAATTTATGACCCAAGTTTACTGACACCGAATTTACGAGCGCGCACGAAATATTTCCCGTCGCAGAACTCTCACCCAGATCGCCATTCCCAGTAATAATATTGGAACGACTTAGCTGATTAATCTGCTGCTCCAATCTGCCCAGTGCCTCGTCCCGCTGCCTCAGTTCTGTTTGAACTCGCTCCTGCTCCTGTCTTCACTCCTCCCGAAGCTGTCCGAGCTCCTGCAGAATTACGCGCAGCGTCTCCGACTCAGCCGACATTGATAGAGTCTGGGAACGTGTTTTTCTCGGCGAGTGGACCGTTGACATGATGAAATCACTGTTTCGCACTGCACTGCACCACTGAATAATCGCTTCGATCCCGGACGAGCCCCCAAATGTTGCGTCCGCAGAACGAGATATCACACGCGTCAACAGAACTCGCGGAAAATTAGTAAAACAACACAACACTTAATAAGAGAGAACACTTTAATTATAAACACTTAACAAATAGTAACCGAGAATACAATTTAATTATCAGAGCTGTCATAAACGTCCGCCCGAGCAGACAGCTACCGAAGATCTGACATATAACAGCTTGTTTACAAACTGTCATAGAGACCCTTTAAACCGCTAATCGGTATTGTCTTGACAAGAAATATAAGAAAAACTCTTGTTATTTACAAATGCCATATGGCTTTAAGAGGATGCTGAAGTGACGGGCGAACTCCGACGCGAAAGCGCCATCATTTCGATGGTACTAAAAATGAAATGACATTATCGGCGCAGCCTACGGACCTATGCCGCGTAGGTCCGTGTGTACGCATTTGTTTGTAGTGGTGACTCACTACACTGACGTGTGGTCTGTGTACGTGTGTCATCGGAGGTTTGTAAACAAACGATGCTTGCGCTTGTTTCCTCGATTGAAA